GTTTTACAGGCTCCCCCAAACTACCAGACAGAGTTCATGCCCTGTTTCATCAAATATCCAATGACATTTTCCAAGAGTCATGCTAATTACAGGAATTTCACAGACAATGACTGAGGATATTACATCTCAGAATTTCAGCTCTTGTCTTCAAATGCTGATTTGGGCCATGGTTTTTTGGGTCATTGTCATTTGTCATTGTTCATGACATGATAAGAAAAAGATCGAGGAATATTTTCCCATGTTTTGTCTTTTGAATTAATTAATGGATTAAAATCCCATGAATCAATAACAACCTCAGTGTGAGCACTCTAAGATGGGTATGGTTGACTGTATTTGGAGGTAAAGTTCACAATCCTGAATGTCAGCCTTACAGTTTTTGCGAGTTTGGAGCAAACTGTGCTGAAGAAACATGCCAAAAAATTGTCTATTTTTCCAATTACTACAGTGTAATGCTCTTTTCACAATGGACATTAAGAAAAATCCACTTCTATTTGTTCAGTGTCAGGTATGGGCATAAGAGAGAAAATGAAAACAAGTATTTCAGGACAAGTACTATAAAAATATTCTAAATAAAGCCAAAAGAATTACACTGTACTGGGATTTACACTAAATTAGATTTCCAAAGCCTCTTGTCACAAAACAAAATCAGTAATAGGTATTAGGTAAGATAGTGGATGTTCATTTCACTATAGCAATATTTTTTACATCTATGTGTATCAAGAAAATGATATCGTGTTCCTTAAGTATGGACAAAAATATTTTAAAAAGAAAACTGGAGGACAAAATTTCAGTTTTTAATATTTCCACTTTATTCTCAAATTCTAACATCTTACCTATTGCCTATCAGCTCACTTGATCAAGAAGTATAAAGAAAAGAAGGGTATTCTTTCCCTTTAACCTCACCCAACACATGCATATTAAAAATTAATGTTTAAATTTGGTGTATGGCCTTCTCATTTCCTTCCATGTTAATTGAAACAATTATTATAAGGATATATATAAAAATCATAGGCTTCATTTATTTTTAATTTAAAACTGCATAAATATAAAAAGATGTCCTCAATTTAAAATATATATAAATATAAAAGTTTTATACAGTATTTTATATTATTTTTTAAATTAATAAAACCTCCTAATCTCCCTTCCTTATCATGACATACAGATATAACTCATTATTTTAAAAAACTGACTTTGAAACTGCCTTCCCTGAGCAAATACTTCTTCATCTCTTTCAGTCAGTAATTTCTTGCTGAGAACTTACGAGCAGCTGTCAACCTCCAGAAGGAGGGCAGTGTGTTGTCCGTGAGAAATACAAGCCAGCGTCCTTGACTGCACACTTCACTTGGGAAGAAAAACAAAGACAAACAAAACACACGGACACCGGCTCCCTCGGTGTGCTCGGGGGGGTGGTCGTGGAGTAGGCCTGGCGAGGCCTGGGTCGGGAGCAGAGCACCACATGCCCGGGGTGGGGTGGCTGCCTGGTCAGCCTGCCCCTCCCTGGGCGCAAATCCGGGCCCCTGCAGGGTAAAGAGGAGAGGCTGAATGTCAGCGGGCTGCAATGGTAAGAAATTAGATAAGGAAGACGGAGTGCTAGACTGCTTCCTAATAGGTAGTGAGGATTTAGTAAAGTCAGCTAATGTTGCTATCATCATTACTTAAGCAATCCGTAAGAGCTAAGCTGCGAGACAAAGGTGAAGGCTCTGAATGTATGGGCAGCAAAGTAAAAGCTCAACACATCTAGGAAGGCTCCACAGAGAGGAGACACGGGTGGAATTGGAGGGACAGAGTGAATGGACAAGGGGACGAAGAAGGAATGCTTTTAAAATAGACTGCAGAAGGCAAGAAGGAGAATAAGATACCCAGGAAGGCAGATGGGGCGTGGTGTGAACCTGTGGAGAAAGCACTGAGAGAAAATCTTCGAACACAGTGGCACATGGCCGTTGGAAATTAAATTCACTTGGCCTTTGAATACCCTTTAAAGGGAATGCACACTGAATCCAACCAGCCAGGGGTCAGCGATAATTCGGAGGAAGCAGCTTCCGGGTCAGTCAGGAGGGAAGACAGACCGCGTGGATCCTTCAGACGAGGGAAGGATGCAGGACGCGGAGGTGGGCACAGAGGATGGCGATCTCTACCCCAGGTGGGTGGGATTTTAGGGTCGCAGGCTCACTGGGACTCTTCTACACTCATTTACCCAGAAGGAAACGCGGGCCTGGCGGATACATCCGGAGCCGCCAGCTGGTAGCGGCTGTACCGAGATTCTAGTCCAGACGCCCTGGCTCCCAGTTTATCTCTCTCTGCTGCATTCTACCTGCCCTGTCCAGGACAGTGCAGTGTGACGACAGCAACATTTTAGGAAGATGCATGATGCGGCAAGATGTCGGCTAAGTTAGAGGCTGAAGCCTTGGAGAGGGACGTAAGGAGGCGCAGAGGCATGCGGGCCTGAGAGAAGGGGCACAGCCACAGCGGTGCCACAGGATGAGGGGAAACGCCGGCCGCGCTGGAGTGGTTCGGCCGGGCCCGATTAAACATTGCCTTCCGCAGCTCTTTACCTTGGCAAAGGAAGACGGGATCACCGGGAAACTGAGCACAGCTCCCTTGGCATACCTCCATCCTCCTCTGGCACCTCAGTGAATGCGACATTGAAAAGTACCTGATAATTGGAGAACCTGAATTTCTGCAGAATTTTATTTCCATTGTCCCCTCTGAATAGGCACGTCAGTTATACTTATAACTAGGAGGGTGTCTAAAAACAAATTATTTTTTATTTTCACCCAGAAAGAGAAATGGCATTTAAACACCTGCCTAAAAAATCATGGAATGAGATTGAAAGACCCACCTCTTGATCCAGATTAATAAATGTATTAAAGGCAGTTTATAGGAAATCAATGTAGTTCCTACTCAAGACAGTTTAAGAAGCAAATTTCATAGTAGGCAAAACTCTAAGAAAAATGCTGCCCTGTGAATCCGACCCCTGTTATACACACATTTTCTTCCCAATTATTCGCCACGTGTGAATCTCGACAGCACTGTGAAGGGAGTTTACAGACACAATTCAGGTCCCAATCAATTGACCCCAAAACAGAGATTATCTGCTGAGTGCCTCCCTATCACAGCCGCCCTTTGAAAGCAGAATATTTTCTCCACCTGGTTGCAGAAGAGACAGTTCGAGATTTGGAGCATTGGAGGGTGCAGCATTACTCACTGAAAGGTGAGGGCAGCCTCCGTTAGGAAGGGGCCTTGGCTGATGGCCACCAAGCAAACGTGGACCTCAGTTGTGCAACCGTGAGGAAGCACGTTCTGCCAATGCCCTTGACCTGGGAAGAGGGCCCTGAGAACCACGTGAGACTGCTGTGCCAGGAAACGCCTGATTCCGGGCTGGTGATACCAAGAGCAGAGTCCAGTTGCTCCACTACCCAGAACTACAAAGCCAGGAACTAAGAAGTGGGTGCTAAGTTTCTAAGTTCTTGCTAATGAGTCACATGGTGCTAGAATAGTAATGCACATTCCAATCCTTGACTCTTGAGCTTTCCTGAAATCCCAGAATCAGATTAAACAGATAACCAGCTCCAAGAACTTCTCCTACTTTGAACAATATAAAATTTGAAAGATTAATCCTCATATAGTGAGAACAGTGTGTGATATTCTCAATGCCACGGAGAAATATAAATTCACCAAGAGGCTAGGAAAAAATAGCAGATTCAAATTTTAGAATTTTAATTGTAAGAAGGATATTTACTAAAGAGAATCTGTGATTTAAAAGAATATTATTATGCAGAAGTCAGAAAGATGATAAATAATACACTGTAGTAGATTTTTAGTCTATGAGGAATTTCCACATATAGGTACATATAGGCATATATTTCAATTATTTAGTCTTGCAGAGCTTAACAAGAAAGCAAAATATCATTATATGTGTATTGAGAGAGGATCCTTACACAAAGATATTTATTACTTTCATGAGAAAAAATGTTGATAGTGATTTTGCCACTGAAATAAACCCTATTAGTCCCCCATTTGTCACAATATTGTCTTGCAGAAGCTGCCACAGCAGGTGGTGAGGACGCTGATATGAGCAGAGATCAGGTGGGAAAATGTGTCAGGAATATTGCTCAAGGAATCAGGTTAAGTAGCCAACCATCCCAAAGTGCTTACTTGTAAAATCAGAAGCATAAGGAAAGATATTAGTCAGCTTTCCAGTCACTGACAAAATATCGACACTCATAACTTAGAGCAGAGGTTTAATTTGGCTCATGGTTTCAGAGGATTCAGTGCATGGTTAGCTAGTGCCACAGCAGGAACATCATGACAGGAAAGCACGGCAGAGCATAGCTGCTTTGTTCATGGTGGCCAGGAAGCAGAGCAGAGGAACAGTGCCAGAGAGGAAGCGGACAAGGACCAGATGTAGTACTCCAGATCCACCTCCATGACCCATCAGGACACATCCAGAAGTGTGCTATAAATTCCTTAAGCCGCTGGCAAGCCAAGCAAGTTGACAATTAAGCTTAACTGTCACAAAAGCTCAATGTTGTTGATAAGCAAAAGCTAATTTAAAATAGAAGATGTATTCTGGATATTGAGTATATCATAAAAGAACTGAACATGCCTATTTAATAAACTTGAAATAAAAATTCTCCTTTAAAATATACAACTTAGGGCTAGGAGTATAGCTCAGCAGTAGTAGCTAATACAAGTGGACTTCATAACCAAGCTTATGTGTCCAAATCCTTTAGACAAGAACTAGGTCAGACAGATAACATTTTCCAGGAACTCTTTTTTTGAATAGTACATGGATACCAGTGGTGATAAAATGTGCCCCAGTGTTAGGGAAGATAAATGCAAACTGTGTAGTTGAAGGTAGACCGAACTGTGTGTGAAGCTTTCTTCCTAACAGAAGCCTTCTCATCAGAGTAGGGGTGCAATGAGCTGATTCTTGCTTTCTCAGGGTATTGTGTTACCATGGAACAGATAGAACAAAGTGATAACTATTCTTTCTGTAGTAATATGGAAACTCAATGTTTTAATTTCCATTTCCCTAATGGCCAGAGATGTTGAACATTTTTTCATACATTTATTTATTGACTATTGTACTTCTTCTTCCAAATTATGTTTGTTCATTTCAGTTGCCCATTTTTCAATTGGCTCTTTTATTTGGGGGCTAAAACTAATACCTTTAATTCTTTATGAAGTCTAGATGTTATTCCTCTGGAGAAGATAGCTGACTTTTTTTTACCATTCTGTAGATTGTCCCATTACTCTGTTGGTTGTTTCCTTTATTGTGCAGAAACTTTTTAATTTGATATGACCCTATTAGTTGATTCTTGATGTTATTTTTCGGTAATTCAGATTCTGTTCAGAAAGTTCTTGCCTATACCTATGTCTTCAAGAGTTTTTCCTCTTTGTCTTCCAGAATATTTTCCATTATCTCTCCACCTATACCAAAAATATAAATCATCATCATGTATCAGTTCTTGGAATGACAACATATAGAAATAAATGACTCATAATCTAATTCTCTCAACATAGTAAAGACAACAATACATTGAGCTAAAATAGAGTTGGCCTCATAACTTTTTTCAAACTTCAGAGACTATATTTTAAATATAGTTTAGTCTTTTTTACTTTAATGCTAACATTTGATTTGCCTGACAACCTTTGCAATTGTCAAAAATGTCTTGGAAATTAAATGCAAAATTATTATCATGAATAATGGCCTATAGAAATATTCTATGATTTGAGGGAAGAGGGTTCTAATCAATAAATAAAAATTTGAAGATAGAAAGAGTGTCTTTCTGTAAATTTTTGTTTATTATAGTAGAAATAAACAGTTTTATTGTGTTTTAAATATAAAAATTATTTGTATTGTATGATTTTAACTATTCTATGGTTTTGTTCAGTTATCTTCTGTTTATTACATTAGCTTTGACTTTTTATAAATAAAACTGATAATAAACACATTTTTAAAAATTATGTCAACATCATTCTTGTTTAAAAAAATGCAAGGACAGACTGAATTATGAGAGAACTAGCGACAGCCAACTGACAACAGGCTTTATACACCAACTGTCTAGAGCCTTATTGTCCACATCAATTGTTTTGTTTATGGAGCAATCAATGTTTCTTGTCTAAAACACAAATATGAAATCACTTTTCTCAGCAATGTGCATATTAGGCAGGAACTCAACTTACTGCAGCTGCTATATTCTGTTTATTTCATTCTACCCACTTCCCCTTAGCAAGTGTTCTGAAGTTAATTATTTTAGCAGGTAAATGAGATTTTCTGTAAATGTTCGTAAGTATTGTTACAAAATAATCATCTAGAAAATGGCCAAATCCTCAAACATAGGTAATTTTGTTTAACTTGATAGTGTTTCGATTAGTACTATAGGAACACTCGAGTAAGGATCCACAGCCAAAGTCCTATTTATTTTATTTCAGCATAGTATATTTATGAATTAAGGAAAAATCATCTTTGACTGAATATGTGATGATACATTTTTCTTCTCACATTTTATTTTGAAAAATTTCACTTACCCGGAAATTTGCAAGAATAGTAAATATGGACCCATACTATACCCTTCCCTGGATTTACCAGTTGTTAGCATTTTGCCACATTTGTGTGTTTGTCCCTCTCTCCCTCTCTCATGTATGTGTGTGTACAATTTACATGTACTAGTACTCTGTGACTGTATGTATATGTGTTCTATAGGTATCGATGCTTGTCTGTGTGTGATGTCTATGCACATGTCTGTGCACCCACAGCTGAATCATTAGGAACTAGTCAGATGGACATGCTCAAACTTATTCCAAAGACTGGCTAGGTCTTAGCCAGTGGCCTGAGTAAAATAACATTTCTACACCTTTTTAATACTCAAATATATTTTACCTTTCTCATGAAAGTTTAACAAAGTTTGTGCAATATAATATTTATGAGTGAAAGGACATTTTATCGTCTTTTCCCCAATTACCATGAAGTTAAATCACATTTAAGTATATTATTTAACCTAGTGTCAATAACCAGTGTCCGGCTATCTCTCCTCCTCCCCACCCACCCAAGCCTGCTGTCCACTTGCAGCCAGAAATCATGTAGAACTGGGATCAGACTGTGCCACTGTCATCTGGGGTGGGGGAGGCTTTGTGCCTTCCTGTCGCGTCACTCTCAGGCTTTCTGGTCTACCTTCCGGTCCACCTTCCACCACAGCCTGGAGGACACTGCACAGCCTGCTTCGTGCCTTTAGCACCTTCTCTTGCCGCTGGAGGAAGACACCCTTAGTCTCGGCTTGTTTCCCCTCACAGCAGCTGCACATCTAGTGGCCTCACAGCTTATCCCTCATGCAATCCTTTCTTAGTCAACCTGTTTTAAACCGACACTCCCTACCCCTCTCCTTGCTTAATTTTTATCATAAGCACTTACCAATAGCTCATACATTCTGTTTTGATTTTTTTGTTTACTTACCCACACATAAGCTTTAAAAGGACAGCATTTGTCTATGTCATTTGCTACCAAGTTACTAGCCCTGTAATTATGCCTGACACATAGAGGATGGGCTCCAGAACTGTTATTTTCATTTTCTAATTCATTAGTTAACATTTGCTGTGCTTGGAATTAAACTCAAGGCCTCACACATGCTAGTCAAGTGCTCTCACACTGAGTGGCACCCTTGGTCCCAGATTTTTTTTTAATAAATGAGTTATGCAAATACAAATCAGGCCAATAATAAAATAATAATAATATTAAAGTTTAAGTCTTTTACTTCTATTACTTAATTTTTAAGGTAGTTACTTATACTAATAGGTCAATTTTCCAAAAATTTTGGACTTCTGGTATCTAACACATATGGGTGTGATCAAAAAAGAGAGTTAAGGTGAATATTTTGAATAACATTACAGTAAAAGACACATTGCCATTAATCTCTCTCAAAATCCTCCCCTTCACCTCAAACATTCTTATCCCATCATCCTTGCCACTTACCAAAGCAGCTCTGGAGCCCTCTTTCTTGAGTGTCTTCAATTGTACTATCATGCCTGCCCCAGGCCCTAAAGTGATTGAAAATGTTTTGCTGACATGGTCATTTTGACTTTAGGGAGGAGCCAGAAGTAGAACGTGCTAGATCCGGTGAAGAAGGCAGATGAGGACACAGCGTCATGTGTTTGTGAGCTGCCTTTCCATTCCACAGCACTTGGCAGCAGCCAGGAGGGCACGCTCTGTCCTTCCCAAGTGTCCCTATAACATGGTAGGGGCTGACCTGAGAAAGGGCTTCCAAGACACAAGTCAGGGTCTTTCTAACTTAGAAGTTAGAGTTCAGGGTCAGCCTGGAGTCCATAGTAAGACCCTGTCTCAAAAAATCCAAAAAAGAAGAAAGGAAAGGAAAGGAAAGGAAAGGAAAGAGAGAGAAAGGGAAGGAAGGAAGGAAAGAGGGTGTTTGGTGATGACACTGAACCTCAGATGAAAACTTGTACCCTTTATGCGCACTGAGCAGCAGCGAGACCAGCAGTGAGGCAGGACGAGTGTGTCGGTAGTCAGCACTGGTCTGCAGAGGATAACCACCGGTAACTGAGAAGTTCCCAGGCAAATACCACTTCCTCTTTCCAGAGGACTAAGAAGCCACCCACAGAGAATGCCGTCTGGTGCTTGGGAAACACCAGTCCTCTATTCTTTCCAGTGTATAAAAGTTCCCCTCCCGAAAGGCAGTAAGTCACTTCAGAGAATGCGTTTTCTAAAGGGTGATTGCCCTTCTTGAGTAGTGACGCACTTAAGACAGGCATGCAGTAATCTCCAGAAATGTACCACCTCGAGTGGCTTACTGCTTAATTAGAGCTGGCACTGGGCCACTTCTGCTCAGCCTGGAACCAGCATGAGAGCCGTGGAGAGAAGGCACGGGTAAAAGAAATGCTATTTCAGGGGGATATAGAGTAATGGCATGGCGCCAGTCTGCAGAAAACAAAGCTACACACTCTGGCTACCACAGAGAAATGTCAGAATGCCTGGCTGTTTTGTAGTCAGAGATTATGCCCATGCCTGGGCCCTGGGCTAGGGCTTAAACATGATCTCTATTGTTCTGAAAGACTTTCTAATCTTCCCTCACAGGACCACAGACCCTAAAAATACCTAGTCATTTGGAAGATATCACAAAAACTTAATTGTAGGAGTCTAGAAGCCGCTGTGTTGAAGAATTTTAGATCAAGATCATGGGATAGCCAATTACTGTAACGGTAAACATAACTTTCCTCAGAAGTATGCATTGAACAGAAGGAAGAAATCATCATTGTAATTATGTAAACACATTCTCTTACTTCCTTAAACATCTTATCCTGTTTGTTTTTTTTTAAATAGTAACCATTTGTCACTTAACAATGGGAATATGTTTGGAGAGCAACTACATCATTAAGCAATTTTATCACTGGCAATCGTCACAAAATATACCTACACTACCTCCGTGGTATAGGTGGGTCACTTGGTGGGCTTCTTGATGTAATTACTATGAGATGCAAGTGGTTGCTACTTTACAATAAACATTTTTAGTAAGTGGAAGTACACTTTAAAATACCACTAAAAGTATAGTCTAGTAAAGACATAAACTCGTGATATAGTCACTTACTATCAAGTATCACACCCTGTACATAATTGTAGGTACTGTACTTCCGTAGGGCTGGCAGCACAGTAGGGTTGCACTGGCATCTACACACACACACATGAGAAATGTGCTTTGCTACGCTGTTAGGACAGTTAGGATGTCACTAGGTGGTAGGAATTTTTCAGCTCCATTGTATCTTATGGGACCACCATTGTTTGTGTGATTTGTCATTGACCCAAATGTCATGATGCAACACGTAACTATGCCACACTTATCACAAAGTAAATGACTACTGCACAGGGAGTGCATGAAAAACTCCATGGCTGTTGCAACCCTAGCACCTGCTCTAGAGGCCACTGGAGACATTTGAGAGCATCAGCAATGCTTGAAAATGTGCAGCAAGCTTTACTTTTACATAACCCCTGAGTTAGTCCCTCTCTTTTTCAGCACTGAGGCAGGCTAGGATTGCTTCTGCCTGGCCTAGACATCCCTTAAGAATGAGGCAAAATCCTTACACTCTTGTCACCAAAACAGATCAACTCTGTGCACTGACCTGCCAGACTGCCCCCTAAGAACAGACCTCTGTTTTACAATGAGCAGCAGTGGGGAAGCATATGATTATTCTTCATAAGGCATCTTGCGCGATCGTCATACACTGGAACAGTTCTTGCAATATCTGGTCTCTGTCCAAACCACCAGTCGATTCAAAACCGAGTCTGCTCGGGGCAATAAAAACGAGCCCTCCCTACCAGTAACAATGCACCCAAAGGCCTGGAACCAGAAAGAAAGCATTGCTGGAAGTCAAGACCAGCGAGACAATATGGGGACTCAGGGGATTCTGAAACTCCTCAGCTCCTT